AGTGACCTTAAAATTTTACAATGGTCAAAACAAATATTTCTTAGTTGAGCTTTAAATCAAATACATTTTTAATTTAACTACGTTTTGAACTTATATATTAATATATTACTTGAAAAATAAAGCGTATAATATTAAACTGAAATGAAAGATGGATGAAACACTTATTGAAATTTTTCCAGTGCAAATTCAAACTAATTATCCTTGTTAAGACTTTAAATGTCACTTTAAGCTGTATAGAAGTGTCTTAAAAAATACCTTGTCAAGTATTTTTTTCTGTCATTATGACAAGATAAAATAAATCAGTTATTAGAGATGAGTTATTAAAACTATTACGTTTAGAAATGTGTTGAAAAACCTTCTCTCCGTTAAACAGAATTTAGGACAAAAAATATACATGGGGCTAATAATTCTTCTAATAAGACTTCAACTGTACATATATGTGTATAATATGTGTCTGTGTGTGTGTAAGAGTGTGTGTGTGTCTCTGCGCTGCTAGTGCGTGTGTGTTCGTGCTGAGCTGACGTTATGTGAACGGACGGCGCCTGGCTCTGATTTCTGATGCGTTCTGAAGTTCACAATGAGCCTCCGGTGAAGAGGCTGCTTCAGCTACATGAATCATCCTCATCCGTACATGAGTAAACTAGAGAATTCATCAACGAGGTTAACTGTGCTTACAACTGAGATATCCATGAGCCGGACGCAAACACACAGCCTTTTAAAAGCTCGCAAGGTCTCACTGCTTCTCAGAGAAATCCCTATGGTAATGAATGAGGCGGTAATTGACATAGTGCCATTCAAATTTTGGCAAAATTGATTTTGCTAAATATGTTTGAAAACATCTAATAATATCCCCTTATCATACTGATTTAATTTATTTATTTTTATTTATTGTACTTTATTTAATTTGAATTAGTTTTTAGTTTATTTTTATTTATTTTTATTTATTTATTTATTATTTTATTTTATATATATATATATATATATATATATATATATATATATATATATATATATATATATATATATATATATATATATAATTAAATAATTTTTCATTTTATTTTGTTTTTATTTATTTCATTTTTATTTATTTATTTAATTTAAATAAATGTATTTATTTTTTAATAATTATTTTATTCTATTTTTATTCATTTTTATTTATTTATTATTTTATTATATATATATATATATATATATATATATATATATATATATATATATATATATATATATATATAATTAAATAATTTTTTATTTTATTTTGTTTTTATTTATTTAAGTTTTATTTATTTATTTTATTTAAATAAATGTATCTATTTTTTTATAATTATTTTATTTCATTTTTATTCATTTTAAAAAGTAATTAATTATTTTATTGTATTATTTATTTATATTTATTTATATTTATTTTTTATTTAATTTTTATTCATTTATAAGTTCATTTTTTAATTTATTCATATATTTTATTTAATTAATTTATTTTTTATTTATTAATTTATTTTAGTTTATTGTCTATATATTTATTTCACAGCGAAAGGACAGTGTACATTAATCCACACTGCTCAAGAATGTAAATATATTCAAAATAGCCCCAAGGCAAATTTTCATTTCTAGTCCCTTGCCAGATGTTATAGGTCCCAAAACAGACATAAATTCAAAGTCAAATCATAAACAAGACTCAAATATGCAAAAAAAAATTTAACAGAAATTTTTAAAATAATAATAATAATAATAATAAACATGTTTCTTACATAAATATATCCTTGCAGTATGAATATAATTATAATTTTCAGTCTGAGCATTAGACCTGTTATAGATTGCATCTTGTCAAATGATGGTCAAATAATGAAGAAGAGCCTTTTATTGCTAAAAATTATGCAATATCAAAACAAAAATGAGATCTAAGAGTAAAGTTGCAGCCATGTGATTTTTTTTCTTATGAATATGGATTAACTGAATAATGATTAATATTGAATGTGGATTTATTTATTCCTTATTTTCTTATGTCAGTCGAATGTGCTGTGTATAAAGTATTATGATATGTTTTCCTAAAATGTGTGTATAGGGGAGCTTCCATTAATATGTGGGGTAATGAAATTACTTTCAATTGCTGTGCTGTAAAATGCACCCTGTAACACCAAATTACGGCCCATTTCACAATTTACAGGCTTGAAACTGTTCAAATCCCACATTTTTAAGTACAAGTCTTGTGGATTAATGCAGACATGACATCAATACACGAGTCAGTCTATCTGAAAAAAAACTGTAGTTTCCATCATAGGATATTACCTTACATTGTTTTACATTACATATATTACATATACATCTCAAAGCAGTTGGCAGCTGTTAAATATTTAGCTTTTGTATGTTACAGCACACCCTCTCAACATCAGAAAACTAATTGAATTCATGATAAGCTTCTGCAAACTGTGAAGCCTCGCCTAAGAGGTTGAAAATGTGTACTGTTGGTGTGCCTTTCAGAACAGTGTAGGGAAACACTGCATGACTGTATGTTTACATGGTTTCGTTTTAAATGTAAAAGCACCTAAGAGCATCATTTGAGGTCTTTTAATTTGATGAGCAGTTGCTATAGAGTGAGCTGAAATCATACTCAATACACATCGGTCATGTTCAATTTGTTTTTCCCAACCCTGTTCCTGGAGGCACACCACCAGTACATATTTTGGATGTCTTCCTTATCAGACACATTAACTTCAGCTTTTGGAGTCTCTACTAATGTTCTAATAAGCTGATTCAGGTGTGTTTGATTAGGAAGAGGTTACAAATGTGCACTGTTTGTGTGCCTTTAGAACCAGGGTTGGGAAACACAGCAAATTGCAAAAAAAAAAAAAAAAACACTTGTGAAATTACTGTATGTTGAAATGGTTTCATTTCAAATGTAAAAGCACCTAAGAGCATCATTTAAGATACACCGGTCATGTTCGGTGAGTTTTTTCCCAACCCTGTTCCTGAAGGCACACCAACGGTACATTATTTGGATGTCTCCCTTATCAGACCCATTAACAGGTTTTGGAGTCTCTTCCATTGTTCTGATGAATTGATTCAGGCATGTTTGATCAGGAAGAGGTTGAAAATGTGTACTGCTGGTGTGCCTTTAGGAACAGGATAGGGAAACACTGCATTACTGTATGTTTAAATGGTTTCATTTAGGTGCAAATGTAAAAGCACCTAAGAGCATCATTTGAGGTCTTTTAATTTCATTAGCAGTTGCTATAGAGTGAGCTGAAATCATCCTCAATACACACCGGTCATGTTCAATTTGTTTTTCCCAACCCAGTTCCTGGAGGCACACCACCAGTACATATTTTGGATGTCTCCCTTATCAGACCTATTAACTTCAGCTTTTGGAGTCTCTTCTAATGTCCTAATAAGCTGATTCAGGTGTGTTTGATCAGGAAGAGGTTGAAAATGTGTACTGCTGGCGTGCCTTTAGGAACAGGGTTGGGAAACACTGCAAATTGCAAAAAAAAAAAAAAAACACTTGGGAAATTACTGTATGTTTAAATGGTTTCATTTCAAATGTAAAAGCACCTAAGAGCATCATTTAAGATTCACCGGTCATGTTCGGTGTGTTTTTTCCCAACCCTGTTCCTGAAGGCACACTAATGGTACATTATTTGAATGTCTCCCTTATCAGACCCATTAACAGGTTTTGGAGTCTCTTCCATTGTTCTGATGAGTTGATTCAGGCATGTTTGATCAGGAAGAGGTTGAAAATGTGTACTGCTGGTGTGCCTTTAGGAACAGGATAGGGAAACACTGCATGACTGTATGTTTAAATGGTTTCATTTGAAATGTAAAAGCATCTAAGAGCATCATTTGAGGTCTTTTAATTTCATTAGCAGTTGCTATAGAGTGAGCTGAAATCATACTCAATACACATCGGTCATGTTCAGTGTGTTTTTTCCCCAACCCTGTTCCTGGAGGCACACCACCAGTACATATTTTGGATGTTTCCCTTTATTGAAACATTAACTTCAGCTTTTGGAGTCTCTTCTAATCTTCTAATAAGCTGATTCAGGTGTGTTTGATTAGGAAGAGGTTAAAAATGTGTACTGTTGGTGTGCCTTTAGGAACAGGGTTGGGAAACACAGCAAATTGCAAAAAAAAAAAAAAAAAACACTTGTGAAATGACTGTATGTTGAAATGGTTTCATTTCAAATGTAAAAGCACCTAAGAGCATCATTTAAGATTCACCGGTCATGTTCAACGTGTTTTTTCCCAACCCTGTTCCTGAAGGCACACCAATGGTACATTATTTGGATGTCTCCCTTATCAGACCCATTAACAGGTTTTGGAGTCTCTTCCATTGTTCTGATGAGTTAATTTGGGCATGTTTGATCAGGAAGAGGTTGAAAATGTGTACTGCTGGTGTGCTTTTAGGAACAGGATAGGGAAACAATGCATGACTGTATGTTTAAATGGTTTCATTTGAAATGTAAAAGCACCTAAGAGCATCATTTGAGGTCTTTTAATTTGATGAGCAGTTGCTATAGAGTGAGCTGAAATCATCCTCAATACACACCAGTCATGTTCAGTTTGTGAGTTATGCTCAGCAGGTGAATTCTGGACTTCCTGTTCTCCGATAATAACCTGCCGTGGCCTTCAGTCTCTGCGCTGTGATTCTGGCAGCGTCCGAGCATCCGGCCCAGACTCACCTTTCACATGTTCAGATCACGACTGCACGCCAAGAGTGTGTATTTTTAGCTCCGTAGCCCCGCATCCGCATGTGTGTAATCGACTGTGCTCGTGCATGCGCGTGCGTGAGTGTGTGCGTGTGTGTTTTTGGATTAGTGTCTTCAGAGTCTTGCTCGGGGGAAGGTGATGCGAGCCTCTTTGTCTGCTTTCGCCTTGTTTGGATGGACGCTTTGAAAACTGAGCAGCTGAGAGTGAGGGAGGGAAAACGAGAGAGAGAGAGAAGGGAGGGAGAAAAGAGAGAGAGAGCAAGCAAGTGCACAAGCAATCTTGGCTTTTCTCCTCACACTGAGACTCATGTCTGCTTCTGCTGATCCCTGCACCCGTCCCTGCTGTCAGCCAGACGTCCTGCAACGCCACCCCTGGATCATCTACACCCTTCCCCTGAAATCCTAATAGATAAAGCCTGCACACATCATCTCAGCGTTCGTTTAATCCATGCATGGAGACATGTGGATGCTCACACACGCGCGCATATGGCCGCATTGACTCTCATGTGCACGCTATTAGTGACTTTACTATGGGAAACTGTGTTAAATCGCCGCTTAAGAATCTCTCCAAGAAGGTAAGACACTCTTTTTGATGACTGAGACTGTGTGAGTGCGAGTGTGTGTGGGACATGGACTTGACCTGGACCTGGACTGTGTTGTACTGACTGTCAGAGATGAGTTTAATAGTCATGCTCTGAATTCCACTGAGCAGCTGTATACTGTAAGATCATAGGGCAGATTCTGACTGACTGAATATGTTGATTGCTTTAGTTTATTGCATGGCAGAGGAGGAGAGATGTAGACATTGCGTTTGCTTGAAGACCTAAAAGAAATGGGAGAAACTAATTTGGAGATGGAAAACACTTTTTTGCATGCTCGTTGATGAAGTTAGTCGTTGCATTTGACTGTGAGTTTAATTAAAGCCCTGAGAAATCATTATGAAAGCTTATGAAGACAAATGGTTCAGGATGTTTAGGAGTTTTTATGTATGACACTAGATCTTGCATTTGCTTATAACTAATAATTATTCAATTATTTAGAGGTGATTTTGAGAAAATGTTAGAAAAATATTATGAAAAAAGGTCTTGTAGAGCTAACTTTTTTTTACATGCAATGCAAAAATTTAGATTTTGCATTTGCTTATAATGTTAAGTAAATGACTGAATAAATGAATTAATAAATATATAAAAAATAAAATAAATAAATCAGGATTAACAAAAACATTAGTTTTAAAAATTGACTCTTGGATTTTTGCCTGCTAACGAAAAGATCTAGTCATTACATTTCCTTAGAAAAACAATTAAGATTAAACCTGCACTACAAAAATATTAGGATAAATTTTTATATATGACTATATATATATGACACTATATATGACATGTATATGACTATATATGACATGTCTTGTGGATTCTAGTGGACAGAACAAGTCATTGCATTTCCATCTAAGCCTATATACAGTTTTATATATATATAGTGCTCAGCATGATTGAGTACAGCCTAATCTAAAAAAAAATTATTAAACAGACATATTTATTCAAATAATTTTTTAGTGATCAAAATATTTTGAAATTGAAAGACATTACAATCAAATTCAAGCAAAATATTGCACAAAAAAAAAAAAAAACTACAAAATTTCAGCAAAATTTTAACATATTAATTTGGCTGTACTAGTTTTTGGACCGTTATCATAAGTATATATATAGGCATTGCATTTTGGTTACTTTCCAATGCAAGCTAAAAACAACCAAATATCAACGTCTAAAGATATATATATATAAATTTTGTAGTTTTTTTTTTTTTTTTTTTTGCAATATTTTGCTTGAATTTGATTGTAATGTCTTTCAATTTCAAAATAGTTTGGTCACTAAAAAATTATTTGAATAAATATGTCTGTTTAATAATTTTTTTTAGATTAGGCTGTACTCAATCATGCTGAACACTATATATATATAACTGTATATAGGCTTAGATGGAAATGCAATGACTTGTTCTGTCTACTAGAATCCACAAGACATGTCATATATATATATCCTTAGACGTTGATATTTGGTTGTTTTTAGCTTGCTTTAGAAAGTAACCAAAATGCAATGCCTATTAGACGTTGGACATCGATGTCGGCCTAACGTTGGGTTCTGACGTCAACTTTCAATTTTCATTTCCAAACAAACCTAACACCCCATGACGTTGGGATACAACACCAGTCTGATGTCTTGTTGACGTCCTGCACCTGCTGGGTTAAGAAGGGCGTTGAGTTTACTGCATTTTTTATTGCTAGTGAAGAAAACTTATTATTGAATATGCTCTATAAAGTCCAAAGATGGCAATTTGCAAATATAAAATAAAATTAATTTAATACAATTTGTGCATAAACGTTGACAGAACTAGCAATTACACAATTTCTCGTAGACCTGGGGTCTGTTCCATAAACCAAGCTTAGAGAAAAAGCCAGGCTTATTTTTATTAATGGCAGATTCGGTTTCATAAATCAAATTTGCGATAGTTCAAAATTAGTTACTCTGGCAATTTATGCTGAGAAACTAGCCTGGTCAGGGGAAGGTTAACTCTCAGGCTAAGTCAAGTATATATATATATATATATATATATATATATATATATATATACACACAAGTATATATATACACAAGTATATATATATATATATATATATATATTTTTTTTTTTTTTTTGTATTTATTTAATTATTAAATATTCAGTTTTGTTTGTACTTTGTGTTTACATAATTATTTTTTTTTTGACTATTTATTCATTCCAGACATTATTTTGTGTACAGGTGCCATAGACTGCATTGGTTCAATACATTAAATTGTTCACTGATATCTATATAGTAGGGATATGACTTGGGGTAGTTCAAGAATTTGCTTACTCATTACTCCATAAAATACCCCTAAGTATCAGAAGGTCCTTATTGACCATATTTGGTATGGTCGCGAACATGAAGGATTTTCTTTAACTCTCAGGCTACGTCAAGTTCTAGTTTAATCAAAGTAATGTTAACATTCACCTTCTGTAATTTGATGCCATTGTATTTCACTTGACCTCTTAATAATATTTAAAACTTTATAGTCACTTAATAGTAAACATATATGCACGAAACATCCTTAATAATAGAACGATAATACATTTAACCTAAAATAAGTTATTGCAAACAAAACATACAAAATACAATTCTTTTATGAATATGTAGATTTTTTTGTCCTGTTTATTAAAAATTTACTTGATGTTTACCCTTAACATTTGGGTGTACTAATTTTTGCACTGTGATCTCTAGCTCTCTCTCGCACATGCTCGGTCAAGCACAATTTCAATGTATTATGACAAATATTTAAATTAATGTTAATAGGCCTAGATGATGGTCTATTTTTTTAAATTGCGTGGATCTATAATTTCCAGTCAGCTTTCTCTCTTGCTTTGTTGCAAGCCGTAGTTTTTGATTATTATGTTTAAATTATTATGTTTGAACTCTAAAAACAAACGCGGCTCACTCGCTGTGAACAGCTGTGTCTCACTTCAGAGCTCTTTCAGTTCGTAGTTGCCATAGTAGCACACAACAAAATCCATGCATCTATGTTCGACCTTGAGGGTTTCGCGACAGTAACGTGCACGAGCAGTTATCTAGATTTAAACTGAAATCAGATTAGCTACATCAAATGATCTTCAACTTGCTGAACCAGTTTAAGGTTGAACATTTAGTTCGGCTTGTTGAAGTCAGGTTTTAAACTTTAATCCCCGCTTTTCTTAACCACTTTTATGAATCAGCCCCCTGGAGTGAAGGAAAAAAACAACAACAACATGATATTTGGCCATAAATTTGCCAGCTTTGACCTTGGCAGTTTCTTTGCTTGTTCAGAATCTGCAATTACCCTCATTAAAGATGATGCTGCATTGAATACGATCGACTAAAGGAGCTGTTTTTAAAGATCTCAGACGTTCTTCATCATCGTCATCTCTAGTTGACTTGAGCTGTGGATTAGCATGAGAGGTCAGTCTCTGGCACCTGCTATAAGAGCAGCTCTCCCGATGGCACAGGTTTCATGGGAAGAACAAACTGGCACTTTACAGCCCTGCCAACAGATGGAGTGTGAAGGTCATGAGCAGACAGAGGAAAGAGGATGCACATGTTTGCACACACACACATATGAGCATGCATTATTCTAAAAAGACCTTAACAATCTGCAGGATGCTGTTTTGTGTGCTTGTACATAAATCTTGCCCAGCAGTCGCATGCGGATTACTTTAGCTGCATGTGGTAGGACAAGATTGCAGGAGCAGCGGAGAGAAGGAAATGAGATCTACAAGGTGGGAAAACAAGAACGTGAAGCTTTAAGTCAGCAAAATCAATTTGAAGTTGATGTGAAAACCTGAAAATTGAGTTTGCAAGTAAAACAGGATTTAAAAAATCTGGGATTTTTGGGCAAATCAGGTGTCTGGTGTTTTGCTCTTCAGCAGTGAAAATTAAACCACAATGAACTGAACTAAACTCTGAACAATGGACTGACACAGTTTCAGTTTGCTAGAACTTCTATGTTAAGCTACTTTGACACAATCTACATTGTTAAAGCGCCGCAGAAATGATATTGGATTGAAAAATTTAATTGAATCTGGAGATAAGCAGGGATTCATCTGTAAGGAAGATTGTTTTACTGTAGGTTACTGTACAGTAATATTCTGAACATGCATCAGAGCTGCCAAGGTCAAAACTGGCAAATAATGGTCATATATCCTGAATTAATTTTTTCATACTGCTTTTTTTTTTTCTTCTTGTATGTGTTTTGATGAAAGTCGCAGTTGCTAAATCTCAAATTGACTAGTCAATATGCCCTGAATTCATATACACTATGAAGTCAACTTAAATATCTTTTGAGTGACAGTCAGAAGACTATCGGCACAATTTGGGACATATTATTAGAGTGCCACATCCTAAAAAATTCCTAAAATCATAAAATCTTTTTAATGCAAAATAATATTTTAGCAATTGTATACATAATAATATATATATATATATTATGTATACAATTGCTAAAATATTATTTTGTATTAAAAAGATTTTATGATTTTATGATTTCTTTCATAGATTTATACATATTGCATATATATATATATATATATATATATATATATATATATATATATATATATATATATATATATATTATTATTATTATTATTTCTATGTATAAAATTGCTAAAATATTATTTTGCATTAAAAAGATTTTATGATTTTATGATTTTTTTCATAGATTTATACATATTGCATATATATATATATATATATATATACATTTTTTATTTATTTATTTATTAAATATTCATTATTTTGTGCACAGATGCCATAGACTGCATTGATTCAATACATTAAATTGTTCACTGATATCTATATAGTAGGGATATGACTTAGGTTAGTTGAAGAATTTGCTTACTCATTACTCCATAAAATACCCCTAAGTATCAGAAGGTCCTTATTGACCATATTTGGAATGGTCGCGAACATGAAGGATTTTCTTTATAGGGCACCTTTATAGGGCACCTGTGTTTTATTCAATTTCAGTTTTTA